TCTGCAGTGCCCACTGGTCATGCCTCATCTATTCTTGGAGGTGTCAGGCGTACCATCCAAGAACACAGAGTCGCTGCTCTGTCACAGATGGAAAAGCAGACTATTGTGGATGCTGTAGGAGCTAGGTTTGGGCTGCATGTGAGGAATGGTTTTATTTCAAGTTCAGAGCTAGTTTGGTTGCCACAGTGAACCTAGTGGTTGTATAATAGAAGTCTTCCATCCCTCACCAAGACTCAGACCCATTGTTCCGTCTTTCCAGCAGGTCCCAGGGCCCTGCAACCCTTCAGAACCACCCTCCCCCCCAGCATACTTTGAGCTGATGAGCACTAGCTAATCTTCAAGTCTTTTTGAGAATGGTTCACTTTATCACTCTTTCTATTTTATTTGGTTTTAAGATATTTATTGCTCAGCTTTTTCACATTAAAACCGATACAAATATGAATATTTATAGGATGCAATATAGTATTTTGATCTATGTGTAATGACACAATAATCAAGGTGTTTGGTATACTCGTCATCTCTTTGTGTTGAGAACATTTAACATCCTCTTGTAGCTGATTTAAAATATTCAAAACAGGGTTACTAGCCAGGGTCATCTGCTTTGCCACGGATCACTGGAGCCTGTTCCTTTCACCGTCCATAACTTTGCTGCTGTTGACCTTTTGTCCCCACCCCAGCCTCTGGCAGCCCCCCATTTCATTTTTGAGACTAGCTTCTTTAGGTTCCACTAATAAGAGAGAACATAAACTGTGACCCTTCTGTAATTGTCCTATTCCACTAAGTATAACGTCCTTGTGATTATCCATGTTGCTGTGATGACCGGATCCTACCTTTTTAAAGACTGCCTAGTATTCCATTGAGTATGTGTTCCCCTTGATTTCTTCTTCCATTCATCCCTTGATAGATACTTGTGGTAATCACCGATCTTGGCTTTATGAATACTGTGCTAATAAGCATGAGGTACAGGTCCTCTCAAAGCTTGTTAAAATCCCAGCATACCCTGGAGTGGATCACTGAGCCTTTTTAGGCATAAGCTTGACAGTCCTTTTACTGATCCAGACTGGACTGTTCTCGACTCCCACAAACATTTATCTTTGGTTTAAACTTAGGAGTCTAGGAGGAGGAGGCACTAAAACAGAATCCCCCTCTGCTGGCTTGTCCCACTGGCCTGCCTCCTCTCCCCATAGCGCACATGGGATTGCCCATCCCAGCTCTCAGTTTCTGCCTGAGCATCTGGACTTGGGTGGGAGGTAGAATTGGGTAAGCCTTGGCATTCACAGTAGAGCAGGGAACAGGACCCAGGAGAAAGCAAGTCATGCTTTTTGTTTCCCTAGTTGGACTTTCCCCTGAAAGGGGGTGGGGGGTGATGTCAGGCTGGTTGGGAAAAGCACAACAGAGTGTCCTGAATCACTCAGAAGCAGACAAGGATGGTCACATATGGCTGCCTGTGTCCAGTGTCTACAGGCAGAGTGACCCAGATTTCTTTCTTTGGTTTCTGCAGTGTTCAACTCTGTAACTAAGTCAACAGCACCATGCCAGTGCATGTGAAAAATACCATATGCTGATGAGGAGACCCTAAGACGTTCCTGTCACGTGCAGAGTGGCACAGCTGGCTTCACTGCCAAGTAGCTGCTAGCCCTCTTACCACTGACTGGCCCACTACTGGACGGCAGATTCTCCATTCTCCTCCTGAGCTCCCCTCTGTCAAGCTCAGTGCCTGCAAGATGCTCTTTGTTGAATGACTAATACAGTCTATAAACTAATAGTCCCATTTAAAAACACTGTAAGGTACTTATATTAAAATCTCTTTAAAAAAAAAAAAGGCAAAAAGCCAAGTTCTAGCCAGCAACTGCTGTACAATCAGCCAGTATTACAAGGCAATGGAAATTGTTATTTTTTTTCACTCTTCTCCATCTTGTCAACATTGACCTCCCTAACTGAACAATAAAAACCTTGTTTACTTTTCTCATGACTAGAAACTAGAGTAATGAAAGTGACCTTTGATTTGCCTATGAAGCTCCAGATTGTACAGCTTTCTGTCACTATGGGAGATGCCTGAGAGACGAGGAAGTGTTTATTTGGGCCCACAGTCTCAAGCCTTCAGTCTGTGACCAGTTGACTCACTAGGTTTGAGCCTGTGAAAGCATGTTAGAGGGGAACACATGATCAGAGAGACTTATTTACCCTATGCTGGGTTTGAAGAAGAGAAAGGATCTGAGCCTCCCTTATCTGCCCTCTAGAACCTGCCCCCAATAAACTTAAGTACTCCCACTACACCTTACACCTTAATGGCCCCTCTACCTCCGAGTAGCCAGGGCCTTTGGTGAGATTCGGGATCCAAGTCCTAGGAGGAGCTCAGAGGTGAAGGGGAGTGGGGAGGAAGGTACTTGATAGAGCTCTGGAGTGTGGTGGTAAAGACTGTTCTGAAACCAGACTGTCTCGGTTTCGTTTCTGTTCTATTGAAATGAAATCCATATAACATGAAATTAGTCATTTTGAAGGTATAGAGTTCAGTGCCACTGGGCACTTCTCTAGTCTGGATGTTTCAGATAGTGGGACCATGCAGTGTGTAATACGTGACTTCTATTACTTTGGTTCTGAAATTCACCTAGTTTCCAATCATTGGAATTACATTCTCTGGCTGTTATAAATCTGTTGATACCCATTCATCTGTTGGTAATGACTAAGCATAGAGCTTTTAGGGAAATCTACACACACACACACACACACACACACACACACACCCCGTGTGTGTGGGGGGGGATTGAACCTATGGCCTCACACATCTTTGGTAAACATCCTACCACTGAACTACATCCCCTGCCCTCTTTTTCCTTTTCATTCTGACACCGGGGCTCATGAAGTTGCCAGGGCTAGCCTTGAACTTACTCTATAGTCCAACCATGCCTTGAACTTGTGAACCTTTTGCCTTAGCCTCCCCAGTTACTTGGGGTTACAGACCTGATCACAAGGCTCAGCAGCAAACTCCTGTCTGACTTTTAGTTTGGGCAGCCACATTCCATTCTCTAGGGCATAGACCTAGGAATTACTAGATTATGTAGCATCTCTACATTTAGTGGTTTGGAAACCCACTGCACCTTTTCACAGCAGCACACACTATTTCCTATTCCTGCCGTGTTGCCTGGCTGTAACCCCACTCCTATAACATTGGCCTGCTGTTTGAACTTGGGTAAGTCACTTCCACCTCCTGAGCTCACATCTGTATCTTGGGGACAGTGATGTTGTCAACTTAATGAAGATGTCAGTCAGAGTGAACCCTCTAAAGGATTCCATGAAGGGTGTGATGCAGTAAAAGAGCTGAGCCTAACCCAAGGGCAGCCCTCCCTTCAGGGAATCCTTGTCCTTACAAGTTTGGCAGTTTGCCACAGCTCCATGAGCCTGTGTTAGAAAGGCAAACCAATCTCTGGGGCTAAACAGACCTGGTTCTCCTTCTTATTACTTGACTCACTTTATAACTTGGGCTAAGGTGGGGAAGTAAGAAAGAGTAGAAGGAAAGCCCGTTTTCCTTTCATCTAAAATGGACTGCTGAAGCTAAAGAGGAAGGGACACCCCAGACAGCCCTGAGTATGATCACCTTGGAGGTAACTCCCTCCTGCTGCCCCCTGCAGATGGGAGCTCTATGCCTGACTAAAGACAAGCTCCAAAAAGAACAGCAAAGGGTCCTAGAAACTCCCCCTTCCCAAATGTGGGCTCAAGGTGGGAGGGGAAAAGACAGAAAAGTAAAGTGGACAAGCCAGAGTTGGGAAGAAATGGAAAAGACTTGGAAACAGAGAGTAAGCAGACCCAGGTCTCCTGCACATACATATCAGATGAGCAGCTTGGCTGTGATGTGGGTCCCAGACAACTGGGGCAGGGGCTGTCCCTAAAGCTGTTGCCTGTCTGTGGAATCTGTTCCCCTAACTCAGCTGGCTGTCTGGCCACAGTGGGAGAACTGTCACCTAGCCCTGCAGAGACTTGATATGGCAGGGTGGGGGAATAACCCAGGGAGGCCTCCACTCTGTCAGAGGCTCAGTGTGTCAGAGGAGAAGGTGGGAGGGGGCCAGTGATCAGGATGTAAAGTGAATAAATGAGAGGGGGGAGGGGGGAGAGGGGAGGGA